GTTTTTTTATATAATTTTTTTTTTCCCCTCTCTCTCTCTCTCTCTATATATATATATATATATATATATATATTTAAAATTTTATTGATTATCTTTTTTAATATATGATTGTCAATTTTTGTCAAAAATTCTTACATTTTCGACAAATATAAATTTGTTAGAAATATTCCATCAGTAATATAATTTTTCCTACGAATTTTTTTCCATCAAAAATATAAATTTTATGACAGATTTATATCTGTCGAAAATTACCAATGGATAAATCCGTCAAAAATTATCGACGATCCGTCAGAAATTACCGATAAATATATCGGTTGAAAATATAAATTTTCTGATAGATTTATATCCGTCAGAAATTATTCGTTGAAAATATAAATTTTTTGACAAATTTGTATCTATAAAAAATTACCAACGAATATATCCGTCGGAAATATAAATTTTCTGAAGATTTGTATCCATCGAAAATTATCTGTCAGTAATATAACTTTTCTTACGAATTTTTTTTTCGTTGATAAAATCCATCGGAAATATAAATTTTTCAACAAATTTGTATCCGTCGGAAATTATCCTTCGGTAATTTGCATTTTCTTGTAGTGATTTCAATATTATTCTTTCCAATTGTTTTCAAAATCAAAGTCCCATATCGAGTAAAAAAAATGTCACATAGGTTATTTTGCAACATTTTTTGAAAAATGTTATTATAATTGCTTCTAAAATCAAAAGTCTCACATTGAGTAAAAAAAATATATTTCTCTCATCTCTAATTGTTACTCATAATTAAAGTCTCACATCGAATAAATGAATGACTCATAAAAAATATATATAATCATATAGTTATACTTAAGATAAATGAATTTTGATAGTTGATATATAATTAGTGATGACTAATTAAAAATGTTTTTAATCTTCTCTTAAAGAAGTCCTAGGAGTTTAAGAGGCATAAAAATATAATAATTGATAGTAATATCTAAATAAAAATTAATAATTATTCTATAAAATTAACAAAAATTTAGCAACATCATTAAAATGTTACAAAAATACTACTTTGATGACATTTAAAAAATGTTGCCTAATTATGTAAAAATGTTATTAAAATTTTTTACAACATGAAGTATATACAACATTTGGTAATATATTGCCAAAGCAACATTTGACAGGGAAAGTATATTTAAGAATTATTTTTCTTAATGGTGCTTAAATAATAAATATTTATTCAAAAAAATTGATGGGTCCTATTGTATGTCGAATAAAATGCAGTATAATTCCATGTAGTATACCAACTCATGCCCTGGCCTCAAGAAAACCACATGGTGAAACAAGCAACGTATCAGATGCTATGTTACTAACAAGAAGGCAAGTATAAGAACTCCGCCAAACTAGGGGGAATTTTGATCACTATGGCTTATACCAATCCTATCATTACAGATTTTTGTTAGAGACAGAGAAACAAACATCCACAAAGTAAGAAAAGAAAGAAACATGAATCTTAATGGAACGCCTAAAAAACCTTCTAGTAGTGTGACCAAACAGCACTCTCCTTCTGTCACAACCAGAATTGTGAATAATTTAAATCCTATATGCCAAGCCACCCAACAGTTAACTCTCAAGGGGAAGTTTGTGATCACATACAACCAAAGCAAATCAATACCTGGAAAATTGGTTTGTGTTCAGATTTATAGTGGGACTGATGTGGATCCTGGTAAGTACACCTTCTAATTTACATTTTACATACTATAACATTAATTGGTCAATGATCCTTTTATCACGAGAAATAATCACTCATTTTTGTTAACTTTATGAGATAGATTTTGAAAATAAGCAAGCATTTATCCATAAAAGCTGAACCAAACATGTGCTATAAATTTTAATCTATTATTTTTGTGTTGTAATTTAATCTTGGCAAAAATTTCCTTACATATAATCTCTTTATTATCTTTTGTTATCTGGAAAACGTATCAGGAGTAATGAGCTTTAATAATTTACATAATTATGGTAGTAAATTTCAAAATTATAATTTTTTTATTGTATAAAAAATTAGTTTCTAGGTGTGATTTCAAGAGAAGAATGATGTATTTATTTTCATGATCTCTAAATATATAAAGTAAAACGTAAACACAAAATTCAAATACCGATATCGATACTATCCTATTCTATAAAAAGAAGAAACAAATCCTAAAATAATAAAAAGAAATTAAATCTAAATATTTCAAATATAAATAACATGTTCTTAAAAATAACTAAATTATTCCCTCTTTTTAAACTAAACATATTTAAACAAAATCTCAACAAGATGATGAAGAGCTATGTGGAAAATATAGATTATGATTATTTAAAAATAAGAAAACAAATGAAAAATGGATGATATTTAGGAGAAAAAAAATATTCAAATCATTCTTCTTGTTTTACTATTAAATTTAGAAGGAGAAAATATGAAGACTGGTACAAATTGCATGGTTTACTATTATATTTTCAGGATATGTTTCAACACAGGAAACATAATGTTTTCAACTTTGTGTTGCATTGGACAGAGACTGGTAAAGGGAAGTTGAGCGAGAAAGCCTATTTCAAATCGGGTGAGAGCATTAAACATAGCCATGATGCACAAACCATGACATATAAAATTAAGATACATGTTGACTTGCATTTTGGGACTCCAAGAGCTTTTGTGATTCAAAACCAGCATAAGAAGAAATTCTTCCTTCAGTCTGCATCTATTGAGACTTCTAACACTCGCATCATTCACTTTGATTGCAATTCCTGGATATATCCTACCAAGAAGACCAAATACGATAGACTCTTCTTCTCTAATAGAGTATGTCATATCTATTATTTTCCGGTTAAACTAATCATTTGGTTCATATAGGAGACACTTACGACCCAATGGTGGTAAGACCTATCTTGAGACACGAGATCAACTTGGTACTTTCAAGATCGATTCTTGTTAATGTTAAAATAATGTTGGTTCAACAGAATTCAAATCTTGCAAGTGTAAAATAGTTTTTAGTTGTTAGTTTTAGAACAATGCGTAAACTATGTCCATGAATTAACTAAACAAGGTTGCTTAGTTGGTGGAAAGTGGTGTAACGCATAGAGTGTGAAATAGAGAAAACAGAAGATGAGAAAGTATTTCCCAAATGTTTCTGTTTTGGGTTTTTAAAACACCCATTCTGGAAACAGTTTTCAAAACTTGAGATTTTGAATGAGTTGCTAAGTTGTGTGGAATGCTTTTAGAAAATAGTTTATGAAACCAAAATAAGAAGGGAATCAAATAGGCCCTTAGTTTCTCTAAGTTTTAGTCCCTCTATAAGCCTTGAAAGGGACTAAAAGGGACTGAGGATTGAGGACTGACTCTGAAATGAGTGTCACTTATAGGGACCAAATGATTGGCTTAACCTTCTTTTCTTGTTTTAGTGACAACTTTTGTGTTACATGAAATTGCATTCCTATGTGATCATGACAGTGCTACCTTCCAAGTCAGACACCAAGTTCACTAGTGGAACTAAGAAAGGAGGAGCTTGATAGATTGAAGGGTAACGGAATGGGAGAAAGAAAGGAATGGGAAAGAATCTATGACTATGACTACTATAATGACCTTGGTGATCCTGACAAAGGTCCAGACCACCTTAGACCTGTCCTCGGTGGCTCAAGGCTGTATCCATATCCTCGTAGAGGAAGAACAGGTCGAAAACATAGTACAGCAGGTACATAATTTACTTTTCCCTTAAATTCAGTTCAAGGTAGAAATCATTCTTGGGATGAACCATGCTTTAACACACTTGGTTTAAGGTTGGTTAAGTTTATGAGGAACTTTTGAATCAAAGGTGGATACACCCTTACTTTCTCACTTTAAAAGAGTGGAATCTCTTAGAAAATACATTCGTTTTACAGTCTAGGCTTAACATTTCAAATTCCATCCTCTGATTTGGTAATTTCTGCCTTGCGTTTGTGATTGGAGGACCCCAGTGGAAAATGAACCTAAGTAAGAATATAGTCCTTAGAAATTAAAGGGTATGTGTTTCATCATGTCTGCAAAATAATCTAGCAGCTTTTTGAGTTGATTCTCATTCCTTCATTCTTATGTCTCCATGGAAAATGTTAGGTCCATCAAGTGAGATCCGGCCACAACCAATGAACTTTAACATATATGTTCCATCAGATGAGAGATTTGGCCCCAACAAAATGAAGGAGTTGAAATCAAATTGTGTCCATGCTATGGGACATTTTTTATCACCAAAGTCAGAATTATATCCACGACAAAATTCTGCAAATTTTCAATCTTTGGAAGAGATACTTGACATGTTCTCTAGCAATAGGAACCAGACAATAGAGGGATGGATGATAGAAAACTTGAAGAAACTAATACCTGTTGAGCACTTAAAGGAAATAACTCAAGCAATCAAGGAAAACCGCGGGCAATTACCTATCCCTCAAATCATATCTGGTAAAAAAGTCTTTATACCATTTGTATGTAAATATTTCAGTTAGTCAGATGCAATTTTAGTTAGTTTAGGAGATCAATTGTATAATAAAGTCTTAGGTGGCAAAGGTAACTCATTAGAAAATTGTACATTTGGTCTCCCAGTTTTTACCCCTTAAATTGAAGAAAAGACAATTTGTGTTCTATCAGAGCTACTAACTATGCTAAATTATTTTATGACATTGTTTTCTGAGATATTTTTCTTTTCAGAAAATGAATGGGCTTGGAAAGATGATATGGAGTTTGGACGGCAAATGCTTGCAGGAACTCACCCCACCAGAATCCAGTGCTTAATGGTATTATGGTACTTCGTACACTTATGAAGTAGGCTTTAGAAATAATATGCTATGTTATAGATGTATAATAGAGCCATTCTGATCTTGCCTTCATCTCCTTAGGAGAACAAGAGGATCACGTATTGGAGTGGAAGTCATAGGTTAAACATCCATTATAGACACAAATAAGTAAAAGCAAAACAGTGAAACTATTTGTTTAAACTTAAAATTAAGTGTTTCTAAACAAATATTTTTAAGAAAACTAATTCTTTAAGAATCAGACAGAAGTTGCTTCTTAAAAAAACCAAAAAAAAAAAAACTGTTTACTTAAAAAAAAAAAAAAAGTTTAGACAAACATTAAAAAAAAAAAGTGTTTATTTTACTAAAAAGCACTTTTAGAAAAAAAAATAAAAATTAAACAAACTGATCCATTACTTTAGAAATAGTTGTACAGCATTGTTGAACAAAGTATAATGATATATTTTTCTACATTACACAGTGACTTGAAATATTATATTTGGATATAGAAGAAATTCATAACATGCTTCATTAGTACAATACTGATACTATTATGTTCTTCATCTCTTGCAGTAAGCACACAACCTGATTGAAATTATTGTTTCATAATTTTTCTCTTTAGAATGAGGGTGAGCCTTGGCGCAACGGTAAGGTTGCTGCTTAGTGACCAAGAGGTCACGGGTTCAAGTCCTGGAAACAGCCTCTCCGCTTGCGGGGGTAAGGCTGCGTACATCTACCCTCCCCAGACCCCACTAGGTGGGAGCCTCGTGCACTGGGCCGCCCTTTAATTTTTCTCTTTAGAGGGTTTCAAGATTAACACTAGAAGCAAATTAAAGGTTGCAAATAATCTGCCACAATTAAAATTTTCTTTGACCAAAGCATGAAGGACAAATTACAACTTAAACTATGAAGTGATTGTTGATTTAACCATCCTGGGAACATCAGCTATAACGTTGCATACTTGCATCTGACACCCAACCAAAGAGTTTCATTATCCATGCTGTTAATAAGCTATATTATAATAAGCAGTTTCAACCTCGACATCTTAGAATGTAGGAATGAAATGAAAAACAACAATATTGGTAAAAACATGTTCCAAAAACAATGATACATTTATTGATTCTAAAATAAATTCTGAACTGATCAGGTTAAGATGAGTGTACCGGCCAAAGTTTAGAAATCAAAATTCTTGCTTGCATATAATGACCCTGAAAGAATATACAACGCGTGTATGTAATACATCATAGTTTTCTCACCGTCTTAAAGTTTATTTAGAAAAATTACATGGCAAATGAGTTTCAGTTCAGCTTTAGCGTGATGGCCAGGCTTCATCACTACAGCAACAAAACCAGTCTAATGATTGTTAGTTCTGTAGTCGTGTAATCAAAATTGTACTTAGACTCAATTTTTGCTAATTTTTGTTGGTTTCAATTTTCCTTTCAGACATTCCCACCTCAAAACAAATTCGGAATAGATAGTTCAATTAAACAATCAATCATAGAACAGAAGCTAGAAGGATGGACACTTTCACAAGTAAGTAACAAAAGTCCGAAAATTTTGACATTTGAGATGATCAATTTTTCTTTTCCACTTCTCCTGGGAGATATTAAATAATCTGGAAGTAGTAAATACTCATTTTAGTCAAAATGTTTACTCTATTCCATTTTCTTTAACCTTCCACGAACTCAGAAATTAAAAAATTAAAATGAAATTTGTTAATCTTAAGCACTGTTCAAACAATATGTAAAATGGTTCAGATATGTGCCACAGGAATCACTTAAAGTGTAAGTCATGAGATGAATAGTTACGTCGTGATCTTTATGTACAAATCTTGCTAAGCAGGTCAAACTTAGAAACCTTCTGTGTTTTTATTTTTTTATTATCTTCTTTTCATTATAGGTTAGTTGTGGAAATCTTAAAAAAAAATATAGAAATATTGTAACTTGTAGAGAAATTGAGAGATCAAAATTGAAAAGGAAAAATTGTGTTTTAAATACTTAAAAGAGAATGCCTATGTTTAGACTTGCAAACAATTTGAAAATCCTGAAAATCTAATTTGCAAACTTACTTGAGATTAGTCATTAGCAAAATTCATGGATATTAAATAAATTAGAAAAAAACAATTAGGTGGTTTTGAATTACATGATCTCTAATTGGTATCTATATGACATATAATTAAATGTTATTAATTTTCTTCTCATAAATTTAAAAAGAAAACTTAAATTCATGACATGTAGAGATTGATTGAGACCATAAACATTTGGTGGTCATGAACTATCTAATAATTTTTCTAAATTAGAGAAGAACAATAGATGTATTAGATAGAATGGATTGAAACATAGTATCATTCCGTTCCAACCTATTTTAAACAATATGTTAAAAACATTTAACATAGTATTGTTCCACTCCATCTCAGTCTATCAATTCAAACACCACTTAAAACTTTCTGCATGCATGTAATATTTATAGTAGCAAAACTTTTAAAGCATCTTAGCTTAATTGACTGGTAGTTTATGGTCCTTTTTCTTCAATGGGATGTCATTTATTTGTTGTCCTCTTTCCTTACAAAATTCTGTAGGCAATGGAACAGGGAAGAATATTCATATTGGACCACCATGACTATCTCATTCCATATTTGAACAGAATAAATGCAAATGGGGTATGTGCTTATGCATCCAGGACTCTACTATTCTTAAGGAGTGATGGCATGCTTAAGCCATTGACAATAGAACTTAGCTTGCCTGGCCCATCTCCTCACCTTGAAATCAATAGAGTTTTTCTTCCAGCCAAGCAGGGAACACAAGCAGCACTTTGGCAACTTGCTAAAGCTCATGTTTTAGCTAATGATGCTGTTTACCATCAACTAATTAGCCATTGGTGAGTTAAAATCTTTCTGCAACCGCAGTTACTAAAGTTCCTGTGCTAATATCTCAGTTTTTACTCGACATATATTCTAGAAAAATGTTTGTTTTACATTACCTTTTTTTTTTTTTTTTTATCAAAATAAAGCGACACAGTGAGAAGAAAGAAAAGAAAAAAGGATTTCTTTTGATAGATATAAAGGTTAAGTATGTAAAAGAGTGAAGTGGATTAATTATGTTTTAAGGTTTTTTGCCCTTTTCTGTTATCTAATTTAAGGTGCATCATCAGGATTTGTAAAAATGGTTGTGCTTTACCTTTTCTAATATTGATTTCTGGCATTCTTCTTGGTTGCATTACACATAGGAACAATGCTAGAGGCTAATGAATATTTCTTGAGTTTGTCAATGAAATTAAATCCAAGGACACTTTGTATGTTGAATCATTGAGCCTTCAAAAGCTACAGAAATATTGTTTTATCAGAGAAAACAATGAACTGTAAAGAAATTAAGTAATTCACACGCAAAACAAAAAAATAAAATAAAAGGGAATGCATGGGATAACAAGAAAGAAAAAAAAAAAGAATAAATAGAAACTCTTTAACAACTAATACTTTCTCTACTTCCACGTTACTTTTGGCATTTTAAGTATTCTGTAATGAAAACTTTTGCAGGTTATACACCCATGCAGTTGTTGAACCATTTATCATTGCCACCAAAAGAAGGCTAAGTGTTATGCATCCTATACACCGGTTGTTGAATCCTCATTTCAAAGACACCATGCACATAAATGCCTTGGCAAGACTCATCCTTATAAACTCAGGAGGAATTCTTGAGCGAATATTATTTCCTGGTGAAATCTGCATGCAGATATCTAGTGACCTCTATAAGGAATGGAGATTCAATGAACAAGGACTTCCTGATGATCTACTCAAAAGGTACATCAGCAACTGCCAACTTTTTTTACAATTTTTAAACTTTCATAATAAAAATTGTGATTCGTAAAAAAATTGTTAATTTGATTATTTGGGTCCTATACGTGACACTCGTTTATGTAGAAAAAAAATAAGAGAGACGAGGTAATACTAATGTTGTGGGTGAACGTAGCAACTCACTGTATTTTTTATTGAATAAGAGATGACTTTTAAATAGCCATTGTACAACGTACCAAATTAACAAGAAGATAACAAAATATCTTATCAAAACAAATCTTATCAAAAACTATCTTATCTAAACTGAAACAAATAAAACAGATAAACTAACTCGGATATCTCTAAAATTTAAGATTATCTAACAAAACTCCCCCATAATCTTAAATTTCTCCTTCTTCTTTCATTCCGAGTAACTTCCTTAACTTCTGAAATGTTGTTGTCGGCAATGGTTTTGTAAAGATATCAGCTACTTGCTCTTTACTTCCTACGTGTTCGAGCTCCACGCTTCCTTCTTTCACCTTTTCCCTGATGAAATGAAATCGGACGTCGATGTGCTTGCTTCTTTCGTGATTGATTGGATTCTTGGCTAGCTCGATTGCCGACCTGTTGTCTACTCGGATCAACACTTTCTCAGCTTTCATAATTTCCAGTTTGCTTAGCAAGTTTCTAAGCCAAACTGCATGTTGGACACTCCAAGATGCTGCTACATACTCGGCTTCACACGTTGATAGAGCTACGATTGGTTGTTTCTTTGATAGCCAAGTGAAAGCCGAGTTTCCCATGAAGAATACGTACCCAGCTGTGCTTTTCCGATCATCCACATCTCCACACCAATCACTGTCCGAGTACCCAATAAGTCGGTAGTTGTCCGACTTAGTGAAACACAGTCCAAGTGACATCGTCGCCTTCACATACCTTAGTATTCTCTTTAATGCTTTCCAATGAGAATACCTCGGATCCTCC